AACGGATGGAGTCGGGGTGGACGTTATCATGGTTGGGCCATGGATGCAACCTTGAACCTGTCACCAGCTCACAGATGAGGTCCCGACGCAGAGTTTCCATGAATCAAGCTAAAACCCGAGTTTTAAGCATGTCCGAAGCCTGAAACTAGCAAAATCTCAGGAGTCACTGGTGCGTCTCTTACCAACAACAACAGCAGCAGCAGCAGCAGCGGTAGCAGTAGCAGTAACAGCAACAGCAATAGAAGTGCAGACTAATTAGGGGAGCAAGAGGAGACTCAAAGCAATTTTTTAACAAAGAATCATCCCTCCGAGCCTCCTTCATAGATGGGATGCCATCAACAGATGGCTGACACTTCACCTTACAAAACAAGACGACAAGTTACATTCGTCTGGAGGTGGAGAGAGAACACGGGGACTTGGCAAGAACCTTGTTTGGCGCGGAGCCTTAGAGCCTTGTAGTACCATCTGTCGTGTCCAACAAACATGTGCTTGCAAAGTGTGACATGTCTATGAAAATGAATATGCCATCATAGAGAGAGAGAGAGCCTCATACAGACATGTGTGTATACGCATTTGGATACCTAATTCAGACGTGGTTGCTTCTCACGTTCATGATTATAGAGATCGGTCGATCAGCATTGGTTTCGATGACACAAAGACGAATGTAAGTTACAAAATTAGCAGAGTAGAACCAGACGCACGCGTCCCTACATGCATGCCTTCTTGCCAGCTTCTTCCCTGATTTGCTTCCCATGCTTGCCAATGCCCCTGGTTTTGGAGCATGTCTGCCACAAATTAGGTTAAGTTGAAGGTTTGACTGTCAACTGCTAGTGCGTTGAAGCCTTTTGAGGTTTTCGATGTAAATACTGATATGTGCCGAAACCGGCACTTGACAGTGGCGCGAGAGTTTCGGGTATTTTCATATGCCTCGCCGTCCTTCTTGCAAGATCCAAGTTGCAGTGTCTCGGCAGTGGGCCTCGAAATCCGATGCGGCACTGGGCGTTGCTTTGCCTCCGGTCACAAGGCGAGGTTGTGACATGCTCCAAGCAAGGACCAGCACAGAAACACCAACCATTGAGCATGAGTCACTGCCGTTGCCCCTCGGCCTCCACTTCGGAGGAAAGACGCAAAGAGGCCAATGAGCTTGAAAGAGGCATCGCACTTCCTAAGCTTTGTTTGGGCTTGGCTCCGTCTCTCATCCGGAGAATCGAGGACAGCTGGGAGTGAGCCTTAGCCTTGGCATGCATCGATCAGGACGTTCTACTGGGCGCAGTCCTAACACCTGCCTGTCACCCAGGTTTCGTGGTGGCCAAGAAGCCCATGCAGCATTCGCGGTATGCCGCTCAAGAAATGACCTGGCAAATGACTGAACCAACGAACACGACTGACAGATCTGCCTGTGTTGAGTACTCTTCCCCTACGAGTAGCATGATGGAATCGGCATTCATCTGGCAATCTACGGTCTTGGCATGTCTTGGCACTAGCTTTGGCCCAGCTGCTGAATGGAGGGAAGCTGAAGTTCTCTGGGTCCTGAGGTCCTTCGAATGGAGGGTAGGCTCGCTGCTCTTGCTCGAACTGCTAGGAAAGATCGGTGTCGCCGCATGCATGTCGGAGGAGCCGAAGCGTCCGGAAGTAGTGCTACCACAACCACGTCATACAACATTATTGACGACTTGGGAACTGGGAGTTTGACAGATCTTGAAAAGGTCCTGAAGTCTTGCATGAAACGAACGACGAAAACGTCGGAAGTACGAATGTCACGTCCGCGTCCCTGTGTCTTTCCGGCTCTCGTCCTGCGGATTCTGCTGCGCCTTGGGCCGAACTTCGCTCCTGATTTCGCAAAGCTTGTAGGAGGGATGCGGTGGATGAAGACATGGTGGATTTGCCCTTGATCGGCATGAGCAACGCGCCTGCATAACATGCTCGTTCTGATCTGAGAAGAAGAAGGCTATCTCGCCCGCTGCGACAGTCAGCATAAAGCCTGCACCTTGCAGCAATTCAAGATGACAAGTAAAGTCTAGAGTCCAACGTACAACTTTCAGCTTTGGACAAGTGCTTCGGAAACCGGACCCTCCNNCCCCCCCCCCCCCCCCCCCCGGCGAACATGCACAGTCTGCAGCTCCTTCTTGCAAAAGCAGCATGTAAGCATCTAAGCTAATCAATCGCTCGAAGCGGCGTCGAACCTCGCAGACTCGACGACCCAGTTCTCCGCATGACCCCAGCCGAAGCCGAAAATGGGAAAAGTCGCAACAAGCGGATGCGAGGCCTAAGCTTCTGCACGCCGCATCCAGGCTGGATGCAAGCTCGAAGTCGTAGCCCAGCACGCTCAAGCCAACGATAACAATGTCAAAGCCCTTCACAAGATCCTGCTGTGCTGGCTGATAGGAAGAGATGACACGCAGAGTGGGCGGTGTACCGGCCCAAGAGCTACAGAAGATTACAGAAGGTTACGTAGCTTTTCGACCCACCAGCTGAATGTCAGCATCGCTCCTTGCACCGTCAGTACCAAAATGATTGCACAAGGTCACGCGCAGTACAAGAAGTCTGTGAGTACTCTTTCCTGGACGTGTAACAGCTTCTTCCGTGACACATGATGATGCGGGCGGCAAATCTTCGTCGTAAACTACGAAACTCGAAATGCGCACCACAGAAAAGATCCATCCTTTCGAAACTTCTGTAGAGCTGAGCTGGTGCGGAAAGCAACTCTGATGTGCGCACTATCGCTACATGTGCGCCTTCAGCTTTGCTTCGTCGCTGCCGGTCTCTGCCCGATCGCTGCTGCAAGAGACAGTACAAAGCCTTGCAAAGAAGTTCCGAAGCGCAGCAAACTGATCCCTATCTGCTTGGAGAGTCAGCAGCTACAAGCATCCGGAATCCTTGACAAGTGCTCTGAACATCCTTGGAAGCTTCAGACTTCAGAACTCCGGCAGTCTCAACCTGATTGCCGTCCGAAGCGCGGGTTCATCTCTTGAACCTGTGCTTGGCTTGCAACGCCCGGAGTTGGGTTGCAAGGCCTACTGGGTCTCAATGTGAAACGGGCACAGCCACTGATCCGGGGGGTCAATGCAGTGAGACATCCCGTGCACACTCGCCTGGTGATACCTACACTGCTGCTAGTGTCGAAGCCTCCCAACTAGCCAGTACCTGATGCAGATCTGGAGCCAAACCAGACGGGACCTCGAGTTCGATTTGTTAGTTCCTTGTAGCCAAGCTGCCCTCTTCGAGGCGCAAGTGGCTCTGGACTGCCCCAGGTCCTCCGGCCGAAGGAAGTAGTTGAAGCCTCGGGCTCAGCGACGGCACAGGAAGACACGGATGGAGATAACGTATCTCTGGCGACATGTCTTCCGTCTTGCACAACGTCTCTTATCTGGCGCAAGTTTGGCTATCCCCTTTGCCGCTTGGCGCTGAAAGCGTGCTACCTGGTGATTCGACCGATGAGCCCTTGCAACAAAGCCTTTCATGATGGCCTGTGCTCTGTCTGCAGTGCCTTGTGTGTATCCACCTTCGTTGGGGCAGATCGCTTCCATGGTGATTCACAAAGCTGCTGCCACTTCATGCCAAAAGTCATTGTATAAAACTGCAAAAAATGCTTTCGATTGTGCTTCGTTCGCCTCATGCCCCTCTAAATCCAAGACCCCGCGTGTGGTCCTTTGCTCTCAGAACTGTTGCCTCCTGCACTGCTGAACGAGTCGCTAGGGAATTAGCTATTGGTATGGTTTGCTACCATCGGCAACGCGTCCTGGAGCGGAGTGGATGCTGCTGCATGGTGTCTTGAAGCTGGAACGGCTGTGCGTGAAGGTAACTCCTTTCTCCACGCTGGTCAGGTCCGACGCTCTAAGATAGGAACACGCTCAAACCATTGCAAGGAGATGCTGCCAGAATGCCTTCACTGATTGCTGGGGCCGCCTGGAATGCATTCCCTGTGTCAAACTCGGAAATCTCACCGTGTTCCGCCTCAAGCTTCCCATCTCCGTTCTGGTCATAAAAGCGGTAGACCTTCCCTGACATACCAGCCACAAAAACGGCGCCATCTCCTGCGATTGCGGGATTTGCAAAGGAGTCCGGTAAACAGGTGTGTTGTGGAGTGTCGCCGGCTGCTCCTCCGTGCCAGTCAGGCAAGTCGTATTCCCACAGAGTGTGGCCATCAAGCAGATCCAAAGCCACGACCTTGGAGGGATGACGATGATCCGGACTGTTGTCAAAGGAGTCCAGGTCCAGCACCTGGCCTTCAGGTGCAATATAGGAAGGGTTTGTCCCGATAGCGGCCACTACGAATGGATGCTTCCCGTGTGTTGTAACTGCCGGACCAGAGTTGGCCGGAAACTTGGGGAAGGCCCGTCGCCACACAAGCCGACCATCTTCTACTGAGTATGCTGACACTAATCCAGTGCCCGTCGTCGTGTTCTGCCCTGCCATGTTGCTGCTCACGTAGGCCAGTCCGTTGCTGGCACCTGTCAAGCCCCCGGTCGACCCTGCAGGCGAGCTTGGAGCGGGTATCTTCCAAACAACGGACCCATCCCTTAGAAGGAGTCGGTAGATGGCTCCCAGTGTGTCAGAGAAGAGAACAGATCCATTCTGAATGGATCCAATCCAATTATACATGAGCATGTCTGGACGGAACTTCCAAAGCACGGCTCCACTTGTCGCATTGCATGCAACAACGGTCGTTGCCTGGTTTATCTCGGCATCACGTATCTCCAAGCATGAAGCGAGCACGACACCCTCACCGGCAATAATACTGTGGGTATCTGAACTTGCCATGCCACAGGCCGTGGTCTGCCACAGAAGCTTCCCGTCGTCGGACTTTATAGCAGTCATCTGACCATCCTCGCGAATCGTGTACAGGACACCTTCCATGAGCACCGGGTTGCCCGGCAAGGAAACTCCAGATGTAGTGAAGTTCCACAAGACATCGCCTGTCCGTGAGAATTTGAAGACTTCACCATCAATGGTGGACTGGTAGATGTTACCCTTGGAATCTATGACCGGCGATCCCCTCACAACCCCTCCGTTTGGTGCGGTCCACGACCAAGACGGACCCGCAGACAGGGATGTAAGTGGGATCGCCGATGTGGAACCTGACCTGATCTTGTTCCCACCTTTCCCGATCCACTCCGAGTAGTCTTGGGCACTCCTTACTGACATCTGGTACTGTAGCAGCTGAAAGTGTAGGCTGGAGTCAACTTCAAGTTCGCAACCCCAGGGAGCGCAGTCGCGGTGCTGAGAGGTAACAGTCAACGCGATGCAGAAGAGGGCGGTCAAAGCAAGAGCCATGGCCGCAGGTCGAGGGAACGAGAAAGAACTTCTGCGGTTCAGTAGCTTAGCTGCAAGGGCTTCGTGGCGGTTGCCGACCTCTAGGCAGGAAGTTCAGCAGCGACCCGCGTCGCAGCACATCGGGTTCGGCTTGGAACGAAATCACGAAAAAGGAGCGTTCTGCTGAGGTCAGCACCGACGTCCGCGGCTCCAACTGTGCGGTGATCCCTCAAGGTCAGCGAAATTCCTCCCAAAGCAACATTGGGGAGAAATCTGCAATCGTTTCCTAGCTTCAGCACATGACATTGTCTCGAGTTTGCCAAGGGCCAGGAGAGTCTTGAGCGGGACATAAGATTCGCCGGAAAGTACAAGGCTTTCTTTGTGCCTACCGTCAGCAGGGTGATTATGACACTTACTACTTTGTTACATTCTTCTCATACTACCTTCACCACTGCCACTGCCTTTACATCTACCCCGGCCAGTACCAATCCTGCCGCCACCGCCACGACGAAGATGGATTACTACTACTACTACTACTACTACTACTACTGCTGCTGGTTGCAGCTGAGGGCTTCATGCCATGACTTCACCGTTGTTAGAATTCACCCTTCGAGACTTCGTCAAAGAGCTAACGATCTTGCAGCTTTGCGCCTGCCAGCACCAAGTTCTTGCAGGCTTCCACATTGCTGCCCTCAAGGCCCCAGATCAGAACCTGCCATAGTCACGCAGGGCGAAAGCTGCGTAAAGCACCGGGCTCACCTTCACCTTGGGAAGTGCCCGCCTTGGCGTTGAGTAGCCTTTGCTGTGCTTGGACACCCCAAAGGCGAAGCTGGCCTCAGCTGAAACCCGGGGCAAGAGTGTGCCCAAGTCACAGTTCGTTATTTCTGCAACTTACATGCGAAAAAAACTGTAAGTCTTGGGCGATCATACACAGCCACCTGGTCCCCGGTGATGGCTGCCATGCCCTGCCGCTCTCTGTCGCTACCACGGCTCTGGCACTTGCCGACTAAACAACTATGCTTCTTGGGAATCTGCTGATTTTAAGTTGGAACCTCTTGTCTGGGCCAGGGCCACCCGCTAGTGTCTTGAGCGTGAATGATGAACTTCCAAACCTGCCACTTCAGCTCCATCACGTGTGGCTCGACTACTGAGCCTAAATCGTAAGCCCAATTCAAGCGAACCCGAAACCCTGAAACTGAGACTGTAAACACCTGAGCTTCAACCAACCACCCCGACTCCCAAATCTGGACCCTCGTGGTTGGCCTTTTTTTAAGGGTTTTGGAGCTTTGGGACTTTTCGATGCTTTTCGTCAGCTCCGAGACTCGCTACAATGCTGGCACTGCTTCACGACTTGGGAGTTGAAAATCTGATGTTTGGGGACTTGTTTGTACCACTCGCAACTCGGCAGTTTTCAGGACGGCCTATATACGTCCAACCAGAAGCAAGAGGGAACAAATGTAGCTTCCGCGGTAAGGCAGCGTTAGTTCAGGAGTCTTCTGCTTCTGGGTTCTCGCAGACCTCCAGTCCGCGCCAGTGGCAGGTTTGGCAACCGGCTGAGCAAAACTGGAACTGCGGCAAGCAACGGCGTCCCACGGCGCCAGAACAGCAGATGATATCACAGCCAGAAATACTCAGACGAACCGGCACGCCAACCCGGCCCGCCCCTCGATCAAGCTCTGCATCGAGGCTTTGCTCCATGACAAGAACTGCAGGTCTCTCCACTCTGAAGTGGCGGTCCATCGGTGTCGATGGCTAAGGCTCCCGACGGACTGCGGAATTGGCAGCTGCGAGGTCTCCTGCAGCATATTCCACACTGCTGCGGCTTGGTCTGGCGGTCGGATCTTGCAATTGGAGGGCTAGCTTGCAATTGGCTGGTCCCAACCTGACAGAGTTCAGCCGATACTTCAGCCGATTGCTTGCATGCACCTCAAATCGAAACTTCTTCTGGACTTCTCGACTCGATGCTACAGCTTCGGCTTCAGGGGGTTGAGGGTTTATGGACTCGCACATGTGACTTCCACTAGCTGAGCCCTCTTCATGAGCTTCGATGCAGAGCAAACACGGCCACAGCCGCGGCCTCAGCGTCGCGGGCCGCCCGACCTTCAAAATTGGTGGAACCGTTCGGCTCTTCACCCGGAGATCGAGAGTTCGGGCTGGACTTACTTCGTGGATTTGAAGCAGTTGCGTGTGACAGGAAGAGGCTCCAGGAAAGAACCTTGCAGAGCTAACTTTCCACTTCCAGCTTGTCCGAAGGACCCATAGGTCAGCGTGGCCTGCTAGGCCACTACAAGCTGAACTTCTAGAACAGCATAGCGGAGCTTTAACGGCTAGAGAAGCAAAGGAAGACCGTAGCTGAGAAACTTAGGATGTCCCGTTCGTGACATCTGGTGTGTTATGTAGGCCTTCGACATTTGCATGCAAGGCTCCTGTCTGACTTGTAGAGGCCTGAAAGATTATTCACCTACCATCCGTCGACAAAGCCTTATACGAAGTAGAAAACTATACCCCTAAGATGGGTCCCATGTGTCATCCCGAGCTCATGGGAGAACGCTGGTACGCATAATCTTTGCCTGCGCTTCTCCATCTGATGCTTTTTTGCACGTGAACAGGTGGGTGAAACGACAGTTTCATCGAAACTTGGTTCTTGTGCGCTCGCTTGGTCGAAAAACATAGGCACTTCATGAGGATGACACCACCAGTCTACACGCTCGACCTGCTGCTTGGCAGCCACGGCGCTCGCTACGCCATGCTGGTGGGCTGCGGTTTCTTTGAACACATCCGGTACGTGACAGCCACGTGACAGCCGGTCTCCATCACGGCATGGTCTCACGACAGGAAGATTGTCGCAGGCTAGACGATGGGGTAGGCCTTGCAATCCCGGACGGCTTGCCCGAAAATGGCATGCAGCATGTGAAGTGGACCCCATAGTTGCGTCGCAAGCCCTGCCTACAGGATCTTGGTGAACTTTATGCATGCAACTGTCAGGTACTTGTACTGTGCCTTGTCACCATCGATCACAAATCCCTCACCTGAAAAGCGACACAACTGCAGGGGAAATAAGCGCAGTGCTTCACAACATGTTAGAATCTTGTGGCCTTGTACGCGACGCTAGAGAGTGTGTCAGGCTCTTCCATGAATGCTCTGTATAAGGTCATGTTGATCACGCAGCTGTTGCCACTCCACTTCTCAGCCGAGCAACCGTCTGCGAGCTTTATCACCTCAGATGATTGGCGGGCAGGTCAAGTACAAATCACGAAAGCTTTTCCACGGACTTCGTGAACAATGTCAGAGCTCGTCAGCATCGTAGGCTGTGAAGAAAGTGGCATGACAGTGCCGCGTTGCGGCACTAATTCAGAGGAATCGTAGTTCACCCCAGCTATCTGTAAAGTCAAAAGTTTGAAGCCCACGTTGCAAAATTTCTGTGCGCAGAGGCCGTTACAGTAGATAGGGTGTCACTAGACAGCCTACAGACCCCAGAAGACTCACATCCTGGCATCCAAAGCACCTCGTGATCTGTGTGTTCGTGCTTCTTCGCCTGCGCTTCCTGCCAGGCAGTCCTGTCGGCGGCGGTCTACGGGAGTAATTAAGGGGTGTCTGCCAGGAACCTGCAAGGGTGGGGTGTGGGCGCTGCGGGCGTAATTTTCTCTTCATTGCCAGGCTGGTAGAGCGGATGAAATTGTAGGTCGCTGTGAGTGAGTTCTCAAAGCCATGACCACTGCAGCGACCATGCCGGATGCTTGCATTGGGTCTCCAACTTTCGCTTCCTCCAGGGCATTCTGCCATTCTGCTCGCTGAGCTCAGCAAATAAGGTACATGCATGCTGACGATAGCCCCAGCTGCAGGTGAGGTAACTGCTCAACGCGGCATGTTGATATTGCTGAGGTTGCTTGAACTTCAGCATGCAACGTCGAGCAGGTGTGCAAGGAAAACACGGTGATGTGAAGCCTTCGGGGCAAAGCATCCGAAGACAAGGCGACACTTACGAGACTACTGTCATCAAGGCATCAACCCCAAACGTCTCTAAGCTCAGAACGTGATGACAGAAAAAACACCAGATCCTGCCCTGCTATGCCTTGATTTCGGCAACAGCCCTAGCCTGGAACCTGACCTAAATCCTTTCAGCGGCGACCGGTCCTGGCATACTGGCCGTTGGCGTGAGGGAAAAAGCTCCGTCCTCCGCCCAGGTCCAGCCCTTCTGCATGACGTGGGTCCTCCAAGGAGTGAACAATTCGAGTCCCGACCCTTCATTGGTTTTAGCGTGATACATTGGTTCGGGACATAGAGCTTCCGAAGAGGAGCCAGGGCAGGATAAACAAACACGCCAGCCAAAGCCAGGCTTAGCCTTCGAGGAAGACCTCCTAGTCACGACACTTACCAGCGCAGGCTAGGTTCTGCTGTCTGAGTTCTGTTCCTGGAAGACGACCAGAAAAGGATGAAAAACGCATGGACTGGCAGAGTCTCGATAAACAAAGCCCGCTCTGTTTGGACGAACTCTTTTCCGATCTCGTGTGGAACCCACAACCGATCAAAGCTAGCGACTCCATGAGGGTGCTCGGCACATGGCCGAACATGATCAACCTCAAGGTTTTCAGGAAGCCAGCAATTTGGATGTCAGATTTGCAGAGGCACTCAGGCCTGCTCCCTCTCCTAGCGGTATCGGCTGGCTTCCCGCATCGCGAACTTCAAAAATGTTTATGTCCGGCTTTGGACACGCAACCACGTGCACAAAGCAGGCGTAGCTTCGAGAAGCGGGCGAGACCAATGTCCCCGTCAGATGACAGTGCGGCTTCCTGCAACTCTCGAGCAACTCTCCCGCAAGAGCAGCCCGACTCACGAGTCTCACTGTACTCGCTGCATGCCATCGACTATGGGAGGGAAAACATGGTGGCGGCACGGGAGGACGTGGAGACGGACACAGTTGTGCAACGACATCTGGCATGTCAACATTCAATTCAAAACTATCACTTCTGCCACGCAAGGCTCCCGTGCGACATGCCCCACTAGTCAGGCTTGACAAGACTTGCCACGCGACAAAGTGCGGCGGCAGATGGAACATCTGAACGGCATTCCGCCAAGCGGAACTAGAATCCATCAGCGGGCGTCTTGCACAATCCTGCAACATCACGTCAGAAAGCTACCCTTGAAGATACTGCATGTCCAGCAAGACACCTGCCTCTTTCAAACTTTGGAACAGAAAATCATTAGGATTTGACCTCACTCGGGCATCAGGTAACCAGAGTTAGCAATCGTGCACTTGGAGCCATTCACCCACTCGCTGTACGAACTCGGGCGAAGCAACTCCGGCAAATGGCCTGTCACAGCAGGCCGAGTGGGGCTGTGCACGATCCATGAATCTGCGACGGAGTACTAATCAGTACTACGTAAGATTGATGGATTGTGAGACATGCAGGAAGAATGAGACTGCGACTGCGTTTCAGCTCTACTCCCTCCCTCCTTTCCGCCGCAATTCCGGCTGTAGGTTGACAGCATCGATCTTCGAAAGCTTGCGGCTCGGAGCAGTTGGCCTCAGCTGGCGCTGCCATCGGCCGCGGCATCTGATTCCTGCACGTTCACCTGACGCCAAATCAGGCAGGGATATGGAAACCAAGCTGCACACTGAACAGCTCACTACGATGTCTTCTTGCATCAAGACGTCTCGCTGGCCTTCCCTTGCTTGGGTTCTGCCTTGGCATCAGCTGATAACGTGCCCGGTCTCAAAGTGTCCTGTAACAGCAGTAGTGACATGCAGTACAAGATAGCAGAAGACTATCTTAGACGGCACCATAGCGGAGCTATGTCCGAGACCGACAACACCAGAATCCAAAAATCCAACTGTTATGGTAACGCAAAAATAACGTAAAACTTCTTGTAGGTGTGACAAGGACAGGCTCGAGGAAAGCTACGGAATGAATGTGCTGAGTACTGGTGACTGCGTAGGTACAGGCAAAAGGGCCACATGGGCGAGATTTGTGATGGTGCGGTGCACCAAACTCAATCGGGCCGGCTCCTTGACAGGACGGGCGGCCTTTGGGATCGCATCGACCTACCGCAGATGCACAACGAGAGATACACGGACTGGAAGCCACGAGCTCAGGAAGGGCCGGTGAAGTGTTTCACGGTCCCGTTGTGACAGACGTGCTGTTCAGCTCTGGCATGTATGAAGCTAGGAAATCGTAAAGTTGTAAAGTTCGGGCAGAGAACCCCTTGACTCTGTTGGCTGCTATCTCCCTTCCGACCGTTAAAAGATGTCCCTTTCTCCGGGGTCAACACTGCATTCAACCATGGAATTGAGAGTGCACCCATGGTGCGGCACCTTGAGGATGCACTCTGCCTTCGGCTTCGGCACCGGCACGGATCCCACGACTACGGGTTCTAGCTCGCGTCGTGCCGGCTTCACACCCCAAATCACCTGGGGTCGACTCAAGGTGAACAGGGCTTGCCGAGACTTCAAGAAGAGTCCTGGGAACCCCAGCATGGAGTTCGTCCTCTCTTCTTGTCTGACTGAGGCCAGCATGAAAGGTCTGCATGCTTAGTTTTGTAACAAGCCTACACACTTCTCAAGCAACGGTGCCGTGGCGAGCTGTGCTGCCAAGAGACATCAGCATATTCTGCGATGGTGCGATCAGTGGAAAACCTCCTCAGTCTGCAAAAAATGGTGCCCACTGATCTGGTGGCAGTGCAGTTGTGGCCGCTATCTGCATACACCCATTGGACCAAGATGGCCCAAGTATGCTCTTTTGGCGAGGAGACCGCATCTCCACATTTGTCTGCACACGTATCTCTACGTAGGTTTGCCTAATTAACCCTATTTTGGTTCTTCCGTCCGCCAGGCTGCGACATGGACGAGGCGGCCTGAATGCTGAGGCGACACCATGTGGCTTTGTCCTTCGTGCAAAGGCCAGCTGTAAAGAGTCACTACGAGTATAGATCCATCGCCGAACAGTCCCGGGCTCAATTAATGTCTCCAAACACTACGAAGCACAGCGCTTTGAGGCATTCGTTGTCCTGGCCTACTGCTTACGAGGATTTGGGAGGTTTTCCTCCGCCTTTGCCACACTGACTAGTCGAGCCGCGTGGCCTCTCAACGCATGAAATTACTGTCCTCTGAAATTGGTTCCTCCCGTAAGCCCTGACCCTACAAGCGAGCGGCCTTGTAGGTAGCATCCACTTTTGCCTGCCAAACAGCAGCACACGAGCGGCACTTCATAAACACTTTCTTTATGATGACACGCTATGAGCTGATGCTCTACCATTGACTCTGGGGCAGGTTCAGGCTTGGGGTTGAAACGTTGAAGGCCTGTGGGCCGAATCGTCTCCTCCACCGGTTTGAGCTGGTTCCCGGCGAGATGTTGGGGGGAAGGACAACGTGGCTGTGGAAAATTCCATCTGCTTCCGTTATGATATGCTAGATTCTGCTAGATCCACAAGACCACTTAGGTGACTAATCAGCACGTGGAAACTGCAACCGCAACAATCATCCGCAATATGCGAACCTGAGATTCCACTGTGGTATGGCAGAATCCGGTGTGGCCATGACTCTCAACACAACCATCCTGTCTCATGGCGACGCGACCTCTCAGAACTCCTTACGCGACAGTGGCATCGAGTGATTGCCAAAACCTAACCTAAGGCGGCCCCTGTTGCCCTTGCAAAGCAACTCCAGCAATCATGGGGCCTGAGCATCTACGAAGGATGGGAAATCGTGGATCACGAGATACCTGGCGGCAGCAACACCCTCTGAGCTGTCATCGAACCCTCTGCAGATCCGCCATGCTTACCGGAAACCTGCGGGTATGACAAGCCTCGCTTTAACGCTGAAGCTTCAAGCCGCCGAAGAATTCACAAGTGGAGCCCCTTTCAAAAATCAAAACCTGCGAGCCAACCCGGAACAAGCCCGTCATGTTCCGGATGAACATGGAAAGGGCAACCTGCTGTACCGGTAAACATGCCGAGAGGAGCGGCCAGCACTGAAGGGAAGGCTATCGCAGCAGACTAAATGGCTACAACAGCAGCTCAAAATGCCGGGAGGTTGAAGGCAAGACCATTCAGTGAACTCGAGGACTCGAGGAGGAAACAGGGAAATCACAAGAGGCAACGTCCACTCTGCCCTGTCCGCGGTTGCATGTGCCACTCGCTCAGATAGCAATCTTCCACGTGTCCCTTCAATGCCAGCGAGCCTGTCTCCGTCCCATGTTCCTGTGCGAAACCGTGCATGGCATGCTGCCTACCCCGGCCCTCGGCTTCATGAAGAGAAACTTGCTCCTGCTGCTTGAAGATTGCACAGCCGATCCAGAATCCTGAGCCCCGGCAACCAGAAGGACAGGCTAGCAATGGCTAACAGCTAACAGCTACATCAGATGTAGTTGGATCAAGCTTCGAATTGAACTCTGCCTGCGCATCCGGCTCACCCTGCCATCCAGTCCCAAACGTTCACGTGGTCCCCTCGTCATTGCAGCATGTCTTGAACTGTTTCACATCAGGCCTCTGAGAATTTGCCACCGCGAATGGCTTCGAAGACTTCCTGGAGCCCAACAGTACACGGGAAAGCACCGCCAAGTCCGTACATCACTAAACATGAGCAAAATTGAGGAAAACCAGTCCCAGCTGCTGAAGCCTTAGGATAGCAGTGCGTCTCTGGAAGGAGGCTTCTGAAACTGAGCCACGGCACATGAGACCCGATCAACCTTGAAGTCATCGGACTGCCGTCAAACCCTCGAAGCAAGGCCTGCAGGCGTCCGTCGATGGGGTAGTGCCCGCACTGAGCCGCTTGGATAACGCTCGGCACCTGGGACTCGCAAGTTGCAACAACTGCTGCTGCTCCTACTCCTCCTCCCCTCTCGTCCTCCTCCTCATCCTCCTCCTGCTGCTGCTACTACTACTACTACTAGCCACCCC